CTCTCGCTCCTCGTGGCTGAGTGTCATTTTCCTGCGCACAATGGGTGCTCTGTTGAGCCAGCATATGTGCAAACAGCAGAGACTTACACTCAGTGGTATGCTTGCTGGGATGGCCTTTGTAAGTCCTACAGCAGTAGCGGCACGGAGAGCACAGGACTAGGGACTTTCGCTGCTGAAACTGCCAAATCTTGGCACGCACATAGCAAGTTTCAAGCCAAGGATGCTTAGCCGAAATGTGTATGTGCATGGCTTTAGTGTCGGCTATCCACTGCATGCACCACGGGCAATGATGAAGCCATTTTTCTCCCTGAAGGGCAATCCATTTGGCTCCATGCTCCCAGCCTCTCCGAAACTGCTGCTGGCATTCCGGATCAAAGGCAGTCGGGAGGGGATTGGGATTCTGGGCGGGGGCCTGCATCACAAGGCCATCCGGGAACAAGACCCTACAGGATCTGGAGGTGATGTGTACTGTGAGGTCGTGCCACGACTTACACATCCGGTGGCAGTGGACACAGGTGGCCATACCTCCGAGCGCGTGCATGTACACAAATTGCGTGTGAGCGTCTGTTCCAAGCAGAGGCTTTGGCAGAGCCGTGAGCACCGGAGTTCGTTTGGTGACATCTGAGTACATGTCCAGAATCAGATCCTGCAGTGGGTCCATATCCTCTACTGGCTGGGCACGCAGGTGCTCCTTCGTCATATGTGATTTCATCGCATACAGTGAGATGAACTCAATGCCACACACAGGGCAACAGATGTCACGGAAATGATGCACACTATTGACAGGATGAAGGAGTGCACGGTTCTGTTTATTTTCCCCATCGTTGCTACTCGGTACCTGTTCGTACGAATGTGCTATCCTATCAAGCCAAGTCTGCAAGTGTTCAGTGTGGAACAATCTAGGAAGGCTATTCCTATTGGCGAGGTCCGCTTGGAGCATGCACCACGGGTCGTCAACACGGCAGGCCGTTCGAACCTGCTCAGCTGTCGTTCGGCGTATGTGTGC